AAAATATTGGAAAATATGATCTGATAATCTCTGAAATCTGAAACATATTAATTTCTAAGCACTTTAGATATGAATACTGAACCTGTATTCTGTGTAGTAGGGGATGAAGCAAGCAAAAGTGATTGGAATAGAGCATGGGTCTCAGAAGGCCAGCTCTGAAGGATCATTCAAGCAAATTCCCACATTTATGGAGAATTCTCACCTGTAAGAGGAGAGCTTAGGACCAGGCAGAGAGGTATGTTTAGCATATTCCTCAGAATTGGAACATTCCCTCCAAAAAGGAGTAGGTGGTTCATTAGACTCAGGACATAATCAAAACTTACAAGCCTGAGAATAATTAAACTTGTAAAAGTCATAAGGTCTCTCCAAAAGGGTATACAAAATGAACATTTGCTGGAGAGAGGGGAATGCCAGTGTGTTTTGTTGCCTGTGAGGCAGGCCAGGCGTTCTATGAATGCTGCTTTCATGAGCGCCACCCAAGCTGTGATGGCCTTCTCAGTGCTGCATCCTCCTCTGAGTAACAGCCCTCCCTTGGTCCCATAATACACACTCTGGTGCATTAAACTACATTTTGGTGGAAACTTCTTTTCTCTTGTTGGTTTCCAACTGAGATGAGCAGACATTGGTTTGTATATCCCTAAGAGAAATCACAGCTAGATGGCAATTGTCTGTTAGCTGGAATATTCAATTGGAGGAACTCTTCAGGGAATATGAAGATGTTTCTGTATTTTTCATTTCTAATATTCTAGAGCGGGAATTTAAATGAATGGTAAAAATTTTGAGGCAGAATTGGTATTAAGCAGATTTTGAAAACCAAACAAAATAAAGCAGAGAAACTATAATCCTTAGCGAGTGTAATTTGGTTATACTAAAAGTGTCAGGAAAGGACATAGTGCTTTCTTGTGAAAAATATTTAGGTTACGTGTTTTTGAAAATGATTGTTCTTAATGTTATGTATCTATATATTTGGAAACATTGTGAAAATAAAAATCTGAGTGAAAATATAAGAGAAAAATGAATAGAAGTTTTATAAAATTACATTGATTAGAAAGATATATGCGCATAGTATGCTTAAGTTCATAGGTAAGTTCTTCAGTAAAATCACAAACATTGACTCATGCATAAAATAACTTAATTTTTAATGCTGGTATTGGGTTACTTTATTTATAGCTTCTACCTCTGTTTCCAGCTCACATGATTCTCTAAAAAGAAAAGTGACTATGGGTTCTCTCTACATTCTATTCAGCATGTAGATTTAAAGAACTAGTGCTTTCATTTCAAATATAATGATACCCAATATCTTTTTCTTTAAAATCTTGTGTTTTCCTTGTAGTTGTTAAGTTGGTTAAACCTATTTTCTACTTCTTAAAAATAAAGCCATATACATTATTTATAATTTTAGAGTAAATTTTCAAAGAAAAATTTCAAATAACACTTCAATTTTAAAACCTAAAATTCAGAGATTAGAGAGATGAGTCAGGAGTTAAAAGGAGTGTCTTCTTTTGAAGAGGACATGGATGTGGTTCCCAGCACCCACATAATTGATAACAGCAGTCCCTAACTTCAGTTCTCCAACACCCTATTCTGGCTTTGTGGGCATTGCATGACACAGGTGTTCTTGCATACATGCAGGCAAACTGTCATACACATTTTTTAAAGCTGAATTAAACAATCAATCATTGGATTTAATAATCGAGGTGGAAAATCTTCATCTTAGCTGTGAGCACATTGTTAAAAATTAGAATACATTTCATTTTGAGCTCAGAGTTGTCTTACAATCTTTTATGAATTCATTATATTACTCAATAAAGAAAATGGTCTCATATAAACATTGAAGAGGTTATTCAACTTTAACAAATATTCGATGTATTCCAACAACATATAGGGCACTAATCCTTCATCTTTGCTATTTTAGTGAATAAAATGAAATAATTTGTATTGGGTGGAGATGGTTTAAGCCTCTCAGAAGATATAGTTAGGCCAGGAATCAAATTAGAAATATGTTACACATTATGTTGAATGGCTACATGTGCTGAGAAAAATGCTTACTTTGAAAATGTGGAAAAGAGAAATGGGTGAGTGAAGTTCCAATTTTAAAGTCTGTCTAACCATGTCCTCACTAAGAAAGTGAATTTAGAGATAAGGCATGAAAGAAAAGGACAATTACCTTTATGGATGCCCTGGGGAAATCTCTTTCAAGGAAAGTAACTGGTAGCTCAATAAGAACATTTCTGCCAATTTCGAACAACTACAAAAATCTCAGGGAAACTAAATAGAAGCAAGTGAAAAAAACAAAAGACAGACCAGGGAGATGATGGAGATTTGGCTGGAGAGGTCTATAGAGACCTCCATGAAGATAGTCACAGTGAACAAGCAATCGGCAAGAATCAAATAGACAAACGTAGCACTCAGTTTACTCATTCAGGAAAAAGGTAGGTGAACACATATACCAATGTTTTTGCTGAAAGTAGGTGGTAAATGTACCTACTAAAATGAGTACTTTGGATCTCTTGAAATAATTTATATTAAATGTTTAGATAATGATTGTAGCAGGTGTGTCAAAAAGCCACTGTTTATTAGGAGAATTGTTTGAAATATCTTAAAATATTATGTATGGAGGACAATAGAATGAGCAAAATAATGGTTCAGACAGAAGAATACAAATGTCATTAATCAGCTCTCACTTAGAAGAGAACAGTTGTTATTAGGCAGCTTGGCAATAGAGAAGAATTAGGAGTGAAAATTATATGTTAAGAAGGGGAAATATTAATTCAGAAATTTCTGAATGGAAAGTAGAATACATAGATGGATACATGTATTCATTATGAGAGGAAGACAGAAGCCATGCATCTGAGAATTTCTGTATGTATATTCAAAATATCATTTGAAATTTAGATTCGTATAGAGAGAGAAAGGGCATGATCATCAAGGTATGGAAATTGAATAAAGAAAGAAGGCCAAAATATTTATCATTTCTTGATCAAGGAAAGGGGGTACTTGCCTACCATACACAAGGCCCTGAGTTTGATCTCAGCATAAAAAATAATTATTTAAAATCATGTGTTTTATTCTGTGAAGTATCAACATGTCTCTCTCATTGTGATTGTAGGTGTACAGGGAGATATAAGCCTGTTAAGTAGGGACCATTCAGTATTAAAGCCTGGGAATCCCCAACAATCTATACACCTACCAATACTTCCAGGCTCTGTTCCACACAACAACCTCTCTTTTGAGCAGCTATAATGCACAGTCAAAACAAGCATTTTCAGAATTTCATGCTTATACTTGTTCCTCTAGTAATTATAAAGTAAAATGATCTCAGAGGGCTCACTAGGTGTCTTATTCATGTTTCTGGTTATCTAAATCATTCTAAGCATCTTCTTTACTATTTGTTTGACCCGTGCTAGAAAATGTCCAGCACTGGGGAAAGATTTTCTAAACCAAAAATGAAATTTTTTTTCAAGCTAAAATGGGTAAGAAATCTTTTCTATTTCTGAACATGACTAATCAGCACAACAATTTAAAATAGATTTAATCATTAAGCATGAATACTTCCATAAGATTATATTAAATCTCTAATATATGCTGAATCTTGCTGATAAATATATTGTGTTATAATTCAATTTTTTTCCAAAAGTCATAATATAATAACATATAAGTACCTGTTATCATATTGGAAATATTTACTACTTCAATTGTATTAGTTGCAAACTAGTCAGTATTAAATTTCTGCATATGAGAACTATCCAGGAATCTCTCAAACCCTAACATTGCTCCTTAAATGATAACAGATTAAAGGATGAAATGAATAATTCTTGGCATAGAAAATAAGTAACCCACAACTTCCCTGTGTAATTTCTACTGTTTGCTTTCAGTGTGCATATTTAACAAAAGCAATGCAAATTTCAGCCTGGTGATTTCTCACAAGTTTAGAAATGCCCTGTATATGGGGATTCACTCTTCATCCTCATGTTTTATGGTTCCTTTCTTATGTTTAATAGATAATTCTAGTTATTATGGCACATTCAATTTTCTCCACATGTCCTTAATATTTGAGAAGTCTCTGTAAAATGATCATTAAAAAAAATAATAAAATAGCTGGAGGGGTGGTTCAGCTGTTAAGTACACTGGTTGCTTTTGACCCAGGTTCAGTTCCCAAGTCCCATATAGTAGATGAAAACTATCCATAACTCCAATTCCAGGGGATCTGACTACTGGTCTCTTTGTGTACTGGAAAAATATTGCACACTTACATACATATAAGCAAAAGACCCATACACATTAAATAAAAATTACTTAATTAAAAATAATAAAAGGCAATGGTGTAGTTTATCAATACACATTTTTACAAATGCAGCACAGAGTTGATTATACACACACACACACACACACACACACACACATATATATATTCCATGATTTTCCTTACCTCAGACACAGAGACAGACAGACATACACACAAAATCACACATGAACAATTATGATTACCATTTTTCAGTCTGAAACAACTATTTTTGAGGTAAGCAAGTTAGAGAGTTTTTTTCTCATATCTGTAACATCATTGAGTTTGTCTTCATTTATTTTCAATACAGTCCACTGGTTGATAAAAGTCTTGTAAAACTTAGTTTATTAACCACAACTATATGTATATATAATATTTTATATTCCAAATGTTTCTCATATTCTATCCATGAGTAGACATTATTGATTTAATAAACATTAGTGCACATTTAAATCATTGAAACAGAAAAATAACAATTTGTACCAAAGCTCTTTCCTAGTTCCATCTCATTTAATTCTACATCCCATGCAGTGAATTCTTAGCTGCTGTTTCCCTGAGTAAGTCATGTTTTACACTCAAGAGATATAAAACATTTCTGTTGTGAGATCACCTGCTTCAAGGAATTAAATAAAATGAAATA